TACAAGATCATTGTGGGTGATTTTAATGCCAAGATAGGACCGAGAAGATCAGCTAAAGAATTTCACATCGGGACCCATGGCCTAGAATGGAACGAACAGGGTGAGAGACTGTCTGAGTTCATCATGTCGACCAAGACCATTCATGGTAACTCACAGTTCCAGAAGGCAGAATCTAAACGATGGACATGGGAGTCTCCCGGTGGACGATTCCACAATGAAATAGACCACATCATATTCAATTAACGGTTTTGCCTGACTGATGTCGCTGTTGTCCCAAAATTTCGAACGGGATCGGACCACCGTCTCCTTCGTGCAAAATTCTACTTCACAGAGCGGGGAGAAAGGGCTGCAAAGTTCAAAAAGAGAACTCCCAGAATGACTACCAACTGGGAACTCTTTGGTACTATTGCGGCAACATGGAAAGATGCCATTGTTGACAACATTGACGAGGAATACGATCGACTGGTTCAGGAATGCCAAGAGAGAGATAGCCACAAAAAATCGCCTATCTTCGAAAACTCTTGAGCTAATTCGCCAGCGTGGTTTGGCGCATGCCTCAGGCAACCACAAGCTAACATCTGAGCTTGCAAAGCAGTATAGAGATGCAATCAAGGAAGACCTCAAAGAGAGAAGAGCAGAAGTACTGGTAGATGCGGCAGAAGCCGGGAAAAGTATTCGTAATGCCCGCCTGTCCTTCGCCAACTACAAGACCAAGATGACTGCCCTCCGACGTCCTGATGGATCCATCACATCCTCCAGAACGGCAATGGAGAAGATTATCCATGACTTCTACTCAAATCTCTTCGATAGCCATGTCCACTTGCCGACATACCAAATTCCACAGGATGGATATGTCGTTCCCAATGTTCTCCCTTCCGAAATCCGACACGCCATTTCATCGGTAAAGAAACAAACAGCACCCGGCCCAGAAAAGGTCAGACCTGAACACCTGAAGAACCTGCCGTCAGTACTCATCAATACACTGGCTTGGCTCTTCACTCGCTACCTGTCTGAATGCAAGGTTCCATCCCAATGGAAAACCAGCAGGACCGTACTACTGTTCAAGAAGGGAGACATCCATGACATTGGCAACTATTGCCCGATCTGCCTATTGTCTGTCATCTACAAATTGTTCACTCGAATCATCCTAAATCGGATTGGCAGAACACTAGATGAAGGACAACCATGCGAGCAAGCCAGGTTCCGCAAAGGATTCAGCACCATCGACCATATCCACACGATAACCAAGCTCATTGGGGTTTCTCGGGAGTTCAAGATGCTGCTCTGTTTAATGTTCATTGATTTAAAGAAGGCCTTTGATTCTGTTGAGATGGAAGCGGTCATTGAAGCCCTAGCCAATCAGGGCATTCAAGCCCAATACATCAGGATCCTCCGTGAGCTGTATTGCGGATTCACTACCAGGATCTCACCATTCTACAAAGAAGTGATCGTTGATGTCAAGAGAGGGGTGCGGCAGGGTGATACCATTTCACCAAAACTCTTCAGTGCCACCCTCGAGAACATCATGCAACGACTGGAATGGGAAGGAATGGGAGTGAAGATAGATGGTCGGCAACAACACCACCTCCGCTTTGCTGATGACATTGTTTTAATAACACCAAACATCAGCCAAGCGGCACAAATGCTGGCCGACTTTGACCGTGAGTGTGGAAAGGTAGGACTACAGCTGAATCTTACGAAGACAATGTTTAACAGCCTCGTTCCTGAGGCCCCATTCGCTCTCAATGGAACGACCATCTCCTAATGCAACAGCTATGTGTACCTAGGTCGAGAGGTCAACATGACAAATGACCTGGCACCCGAGCTGCGCAGGAGGAAGAGAACGCCTTGGAACGCCTTCAAGAACTTTGAAGAAATAGCTAAGAGGACGAAGAACCTCCGGCTCCGGGCACATCTCTTTGAGTCCACTGTTCTTCCTGCATTAACATATGCCTCAGAGACCTGGGCCCTACGCAAACAAGATGAGAATGCTATTCAGGTCTCCCAAAGAAGAATAGAAAGAGCTATGCTTGGAATATCACGTTTCACTCAAATCAGAGAAAGAATCCGGAGTTCTGACATCTGTCGACGATCAAGAATCAGGGACGCTGTCTCATTTGCCAAGGTGTCGAAAATCAGATGGGCTGGTCACGTAATGAGATTTAAAGACGACCGCTGGACTAGAGCTGTTACCGACTGGATTCCACGGGATGTCAAAAGACCGCGTGGCCGCCCACCTACCAGATGGTCAGACTTCTTCGTCAAGATCATGAACGATAGGTTTGAGGCTCTTCATGTTCCCGGAGCGAACAGATGCCATTGGGCTACACTAGCACGCGACAGGGACAAATGGAGACGTTACTGGCGCCCGCTCGAGCAAATTGATGACTAACGGGAAGTTAAGTGATAAGATTAAGTGATGCATATATACATATATGTACATACATACATAGTATATATGTTTGTGTGTATGAATATATGAGTGACAAATGAGGATGGGGCATTGGGAGAGGGAAGTGGAGACTGGTGAGGGAATCGGTGATGAAACATGTATGCCTGAAACCTAATCATGAATAACTTTGTAACTTCACTTGACTAAATTTTTTTTTGAAGAGCTGTATTTTAAGAAACACAGGACCTCTCCTAAAGCAAATACTACAGCTGTTCTCACAAGGACCTAAAGGATTTTTTGGTACAGAATTTGAAATGAGGCAGTCCTGGCCCTTTATCTTGATCTGATCTTCTCAACCCAAACACCTGGAACAAAGCTGTCTCTTAAATTCTGCTCCAGGCCTCTCCCTATCCCAAGGAATCCACCCCGAGCAGGCGAAAACCTCCAGAACCCAACCACCACCATGTTCACAGCCGCTCTACACAAGCTCGGCCTGAGTCTCACCCATGAGTGAATCCACAGAAAACTCAGGTAGTGCAGGACCTGTGACTGAAAACTCTGGGTTCAATGGAACCAGGAATGGATATTTGTCAACCATGTCCCTCCTGTTTTCGGCAACTTGGCAGTAAGGCCCACAAACCGCCTCTGGCTCTCACCAGATGAGCTCATCAATGGGCATGATCCAGAGACTCATTATTAATCTCTCAGAAGACAGCATAAAATGACTCGCCACAGCCATGCCATCAGACCCTGTGTCAGGCTGTTTCATTCAGGGCACCCTGAAGGGGGCGGGTGAAGCCCCTCCCCACCCCAAGGGGCCCAGCCCCGGCAGCCGAAAATCTCCAGAACTCAAAGGTTCACAGCCGCTCTCCATATGGTTGGACTGGGCCTCACCCAAGTGAACCTATTCCTGGACATCTCATACCTCACACCACTCATGCTCCAAGAGCAGCGCTCCACATTTGATAGGGTTTAAAGTAGAAGGCAACCAATCTTAGAGGGAAATAAATTTATATATATGCATATATATACACATATATATAAGCATACAAGGCTCAACCCTTAACAACATATTAGTAATCTCTTATACAAGGCTCAATAGCCTCTAGGTAAAATACAACAATCTTCACACACTCTCCTCTTTGGAAAGATTTTTTGGACCATTTTCTATGGTTTATTCATAACAAACAATACAAAATGAGTTATTTCAGTTCTACTTTGGGGCAGTGGTTGAGGTTCAGGATGGAAACATCCAAAATGTGGTGTGAAGGTGTAATGATGGTGGGATTGGTGTTCAAATATTAAATGTAATCAAATATTGTGAACTACTTTATAAAAATGAAATAAAGTTAAAAATAAATAAATAAAATTCTGCTCCAAATTATGCTGAGAACAGGTTAGCATGGCAGGTGGGGGAAATGGAGTTTATTTCTTGGTCTGCGTTCATTCCAATTTGTCCAGTAATCCAGCTTCTGTGGGTCCAGCCTGAGCCAGAATGCCTCAATGGGTCATAGAGATTTGTGTATTCCAAATAACTCCTCAGGTGGAAATTACCTTGAAACCATTTTGAGGTCCCCAAGGGAGGATCACTTGTTTTCTAAATCACTCTTTTGGATGGGGGTGGAGAGAACAGGGGAGGAGGGCACATCCAACAGTGCTCAGGGGCTATTCTTAGCTCTGTGCTCAGGGGGCCATATATGGCACTAGAGATTCAAACCCAGGCCAACCACATGCAAGGCAAGGGCTGTACTTGCCACTGTACTTGTTCTCTGGACCCCAAACCACTCTTTTTGGTGTGACTGCGAATGAGTCATTTCAACTTTCAGTTAGGATGGGGGGGAGGGGAGGAAGTAGTACCAATTTATATCAACAGTTTCCTCAAATTCCTGTGACCCTGTCTATTCTGAAATTTTAAGTATCTTTCCCTAATAAAAATGAGTTTTGTGCTCAGCTCCTTCCCAATTCAAGCTCTTCCAAGGACCAGCCCCCCTCGTGGGGTGATTATCCATCCTCCTTCCTACAGGAAATCTCATTATGTTTGTCTCACTTCTCTAGTCTAAATCTTTTTTCTCCTGCCCTCACTCGATGGAGTTCTCTCTTCCTTTTCAATCATGGCCCTGTCCCCTTGCCATTGAGCGTGACACATCATGAAACTGAACCCCTAATGTTCCTCTTCACCTCCAATATCCAATATCTCCAAGTGTTCTTTAAGGTAAGTGAACTCGTGCTTGGAATCACTGCATATGTGTGAGGTGGAACTCCTCTCTTTGTATAGCTTCATCCATGCTACAAAATCAAAAGCATTTATTCCAGGTGACCTCCCAGACACCCAAACAGTTCCTAATGAACCCTACAGTGCTTCCAGGTTGTATTCCTACAGAGCAGACCATGATTTAAATTAAAAATGATGGTAAGAGTCCACAGAAAACAGTGATCATTCTCTCTGAGGTCCTGGGAACACAAAAGTGCAATGAAAACCAGGAGAAAGATGTGGTGAGACTTTATTCCTTAGGAAGGGTTTTAGAGTCTTTTCTCAAGAAAAATCTCCCATTATTTTCTGCCTCCCACAAACCCTCATCCACTCAGCCACATACAGACATATGTATAACCGTCTTTCTTTATTGTATTTCCTGAAACACCCAGATAGTTGGGGGGCAGGGTGAGAGAATGCTTGTTGAAATCGAGAACCACAAAAGGGTAAACCACGCCAGGCCCCATTGTGGCTGGTCTCCATCTCCGGGCTCAGGAGAGGCCCCTTTCTCTGGCCCAGGCCCCTGACCAGCCAGGCCTTCCCAGATGGGGCTACCCAGCCGCAGTAGCTGCTACTGCAAGGCCTCCCGGTACTGGTGCATCAGCTCACTGACGTCTGTACTTTCCACTTTCACCCAACCATCTTCCTTCATGTGGTACACTGTGGACAGACAGACAAACATGGAGTCACCTGGGACTTCAGCAAGTTCCTGTTAGCAATATTACGTAGCGAGTGACAATAACAATGCACACACTGAAAGCACTTACTGTTTGGGCTCAAAGGCCCCACTTCTAAGCCTGGAAATCACCCAGCAACTCTGTCTCCTGAGACCCCCCACTCTAAATCCCGCTTCCCACGACACCAGGAAAAGCTGCTTCTTACTATTGACGACGCCTCCGGAATAGTTGTCTCTGTGGGTAGCGTGAACAATGGCCCTGCGGCCCAGGTCATACGCCTCTTCTGGGCTAAGATCGTACCTATAGCCGCTATCCATGACCCCATAGGCATAGGTGTTCCCACTCCCCGTGGAAAACATATTTCCTGAGAGCCGAGTTCCATTTTCATCCACATAGTAGAGTCCGGGACCCTAGGGGGTACAAAAAGTTGTTATTTCCCAGTTGGAATTGGATAAAATACAAGCTCGAGGATGAGAATCATAAGACAGTGAACGCTAGAGTGAAAATTAGCACAGGAACATTTGAACTAGGATAGCACTTTGGTGTCAATCATGGAACTCTGTAAATTAGAAAGAGGAAAAGCAACCTTGGAATCAAGGTTTTTGTGCTTTTTTTTTTTTTTTTTTTTTTTTGCTTGTTTGATTTGGGGCCATACCTGGCGGTGCTGTGGATTTACTCCTGGCTCTGCATTTAGGGATCACTCCTGGCAGGCTCAGGGCACCATATGGAATGCCGAGGATTAAAACTGGGTTGGCTGCATGCTAGACAAGTTTCCTACCCGCTGCACTATCTCTTTGGCCTCAGAATCAGCTATTTTTCAAAATATTTGTTTCATGCTTATGGGCTGGAGCGATAGCACAGCAGGTAGGGCGTTTGCCTTGCACACGGCCAACATGGCCGACCTGAGTTCGATTCCTCCATCCCTCTCGGAGAGCCCGGCAAGCTACTGAGAGTATCTCGCCCGCACAGCAAAGCCTGGAAAGCTACTTGTGATGTATTCAATATGCCAAATACAGTAACAACAAGCGATGGAGACGTTACTGGGCCCGCTCGAACAAATTGATGAACAACGGGAAGACCGTGATCATGACCATGAGGCTTATGAAACAGACACATCTGCTGTAGGTGTCAATGGACATCTGAATCAAGAAACAGTCTGAAGGGGCTGGAGCGAGAGCACAGCGGGTAGGGCGTTTGCCTTACATGCAGCTGACCCAGGTTCAATTCCCAGCATCCCATATGGTCCCCCAAGCACAGCAGGGAGTCATTCCTGAGTGCATGAGCCAGGATTAACCTCTGTGCATCACCAGTCTCTTCTGAGACTGTTCTAGAACAGAAGGGTCATGTCTCGAAAAGCAGGGAATTGGGGGTATGCAGAGGAGAAAGAGCTTGCTCATGGGGAGTGAGGGGTATGGGGAATGCCAAGCACCCACCTTCTTGTCCCAGCCACAGATCATACTGCCCATGGAGAGGCCCATGCCTCGGTACTGGCACATCATATTGGAGAGAAGCTTGGAGGCTGCTGACACGGAGATGCGCTCCCCATTCCGCAGGTAGTACAGCCTGGTGGGGAACAGGGCAGTGAGCTGAGAGACAGAGGAGGCAAGGAGGGGGCTAGAGCAGAAAGGCCCACTTGGCAGCAAAGGATTAGAGAGATAATAATAAGCATTTGAAAGGAATCAAGGCATGATTTGCAATTCTAAGTGTCTAACCACCTGAAGAAATCCCACCAAAAAAACCAAAAGAGATGGAGGGTCTCTATCAATGCTAAAGAATTTTCTGGCTAATTTGCTTTTGCTGACAAGTTATCTGGTTTAATTGGCAGGACGAAGAGTTTGTGTGTGCATGTGTGTGTGTGTGTGTGTGTGTGTGTGTGTGTGTGAGAGAGAGAGAGAGAGAGAGAGAGAGAGAGAGAGAGAGAGAGAGAGAGAGAGAACAAAAGATTGCTTTGTGAAATACTGAGTTAGCCCTGGAAGCTGTTACCCCAGGGAGAAAGAGTGAGGAGCCGTGTCCCGACGATGGAGGATTCAGGATGGAACACATGGCTTAGAAGGGAGCCAGGCCTGACCTACCTGCATTCCTTGGCAAGCAGCCGTTCCCAGTACTGACAGTCCGCAGCACACCCAGACATGGTCCCCAGCAGGTAAGGGTTGATCTCAATCACCTTGTTCACCCTTAAGGTGGCTGGGAGAAGAAGAGGTTTTTGAGAAAGGTGAGGAATTCACCCCCATAGCTTTCTCCCTACCCCATACCTGTCTATGACTTTGGTCCAGGCCTTGGGGCCTCTTCTGAGAGAAGGGTTGCAGACCCCCCCCCCACCCCCCCATCCCCCCCCATCCCCGCCTGCCTGTCCGCAGGAACACACACTCACCGATGTAATTCCCCGCAGAGGCCCGAGAATCCACCGCCACAATCACCCCTTGCTGGAACTTGAAGGCCAGCGTGGTGGTGCCATGCGCCATCTCAATCTGCACGTTGCTTTCTCCATTACCGCTCAGAGATTGGAGGAAGTCTGTGGGCTAAAGAGAATCACCGGATAGAGGAATGAAAATCTCCTGCAGCAGGAGAGACTCCAGGAAAGGGTTTTTGGAGTAAGTGGAACTTACTCCAAATAAGTTCTCTATAACTGAAACACACCGTCAGAACCGGCCCCTACCAGGAAGTGAGAACCTGGAGAAGGGGCGCACGAATCTCACCGCGTTAGTTTGATACGTGCGATGGAACTGAAGTGTTACCCTAACCAATCAACTTAAGGGCGATTCAGCGTGTTCCATTCATAGTTCCTTTTACCTTATGCTTAAGATCAATAAGCAATATGCTTGAGAGCCAGAGCCCCCATTCTACAGAAGATCCCTGAGAGTGAGCGACCTGGGCTGGCACTCCAACGCGAGCTGACCCACAACTATTCACAGGTTTCCAGGCACTGCACAGCCCCCGTACCCTAGGATAGCGCCCCCACTTCCCGCGCGCCCCCTCTCACCCCCACCCCCAGGCATTCTCGTTTCTGTGCCTTGGAGAAAGGAGAAAAGGCAGAAAAATCTTAGTTTTCCCCCCCCTGGGAGCCCCCCTTCACCCTCTGCCTGTGAGTCCCCAACTTTAAGGGCCCACCCTCGGGGGTCAACCCCGCGCACAACGCCTCTCCGTGCTCCAGCCGCGGCCCCGACGTCCCCCGGGACCGTCGGCGCGCGCCTGCTAGCCTCCCTCAGGGGGTCCCCGGACGGCCCCGACCTGCAGTCCCCGCGGCACGGCGAACTCCGGAGATCGCAGCGAGAAGCTGTAGTGTCCAGGGTCCGGGCGAGCCCCGCAGTCGGCGCCCAGGAGCTCCCAACCAGCCCGCCGCGCGCCGGGGACTCCGCACACCTCCAGCAGCGCCATGGCCGTGGGCACCCGCGGGCCGCGGCCAGGACGAGGAAGCGAAAGCGAAAGCCCTGGCGGGGAGGGAACAGACTCTCCCCCAACCCCGGCCCGCCGCCCCTGGATGTCGTGTTGGGGGTTGGGGTGACCGTCCCTCCGCCGGCCCCGCACCGTCCCCACGGAGGCTGGGAACACGGTGCGTCACGGTGGCCGAGCGCAGGGAGGAAGAGAGTGCGCGGGGCTGCGGGAGAACCCCCGGGGGGCGGCCGGGGGGCGCCAGGCCCCCCGACTTGCAGGGGCACCCTCGGGGGGGGCAATCTCTACCCGGGAGGGGCCGGGTAAGAAGCTAGAGTTACTTCATGTGGGGATGGGGAAGAGGGTGTTCGCGGGAGCGTCATTTTATTCAAGCAGGGGAAGGGTCGGAGTACGTAGGGGCGTGCAGCCTGGAGGGGCCTGAGCCAGTCGGCACAGATCGACCCCAGCAGCGTGCGGGCAGGAGAGGACGCCGGTTCTTCCTAGGGCGCTCCGGAGTCAGGGTTCTTCCTTCCCTGCACCCACGAGTAAGATCCTACCTGCCAGACCGCCTCGATTTACCTGCGCTGGGGCGCGCGCTCGTGCAAGTTTAACACCTGCAAGCCCCGCCTCTCAGGGGCAACCTCCGCTGACCTAATCTGCCCAGCAACCATTTACGTCACGAGGACGCGGCCTCTGAATGGAGGAAATTTGAGAGAAGCCCCGCCCCCCAGGCCGAGGCCACGTGCCTTGGGGAGATGCCTGAGCCGGGTGAGCTCTAGAGCAAGGACCAAGTGGCCCCAGCTGATCGTCTCGCGTTCAGCGCAACCCGCACCCGCGTTCGCTCTTGCACAGAGACCCTTCTGCGAGCTGCAGCTGCTGGTGCCCTGGAGGGCGCTGCATCTAATCCGGTTCATCCTTGAGGGTGATTATGGGTGGGGGTTGGAGTGAGGTGGGGGGAGTGGAGAACTAATGGGGAAACTGGGGACATTAGTGGTGGGAAATGAACATTGGTGAAAGGAAGGGTGTTGAAACACTGTATGACTGAAACCCAATCATGAACAATTTTGTAACTGTGTATCTCACGGTGATAAGGAAGGAAGGAAGGAAGGAAGGAAGGAAGGAAGGAAGGAAGGAAGGAAGGAAGGAAGGAAGGAAGGAAGGAAGGAAGGAAGGAAGGAAGGAAGGAAGGAAGAGAAAGGAGAGAAAGAAAGAAAGAAAGAAAGAAAGAGAGAGAGAGAAGAAAATAATGGGCAACCTTAGAAACAAAAACATAAAAGAGAAGATGGTGTACTTGGGGGTGCTGTAAACATTGAGGATGGTGGAGAGCAAGATCAGGCTCCATCACAGTCTGCAAAAGGTGCTGACAACTCCAGAAACCACCATACAAAATACCAGTTTTATTATAAATATCAACAATACATAAGACAGTGTATACCTTTGGTCGCATTTGGGAAGTAAGTAATCTTCCCTTTCTGTATGTTCTAAGGAGTTCAACCCCTGTTTCTCAAGAACTCTGTGTTGTGGGCAGGAGCTTGGAGAGGTCGGCAGTTCAGGCATCAGCTTTAGGATGTAACTTCTCCTGGGGGACCCCCCTATTCCAGCTCAGGGAATAGTCACACTTCCAGACTATCCACCACAAATAGGGTCTCCGAAGTCCTTCATTCCGGGACACCTGTGCCACTAGGGGCCTGCAGCATGGTCCAGTAGCGACCCTGTTTTTCCATGAGCTGCTGGTGGGTTCCCTCCTCACAGATGATGCCTCCTTCCAAAAAGAGGATGTGATCTGCCTGCTCCACTGAGCTGAGACGCTGGGTGATGAGCAGCACTGCCCGGGAGGCCCGCTCTGGGCTCTCATACAGGATCTTCTCCACCTGAGAAAAGTTAAACTCTGTCAGACCTGGGAGCCTCGATCAGCCCAGCAGCCATCCCACTTTCCAGAATTCACGGGATCACTGCCCACTTGAAGAAACCCCAAGAAGATGGAGGATTCTTGTTCTGAGGGCTTTCCCACTAGACTTTTGGTTATCTTTCTTTTCTTCCTTCTTTCTTTTATTGGTTTTTGAGCCACACCTGGTGGTGCTCAGGGATTACTCCTGGCTCTGCACTCAGGAATCACTACTGGTAGTGCTCAGGGAAATACACGGGGTACCAGGGATTGAACCTGGGTAACAAATGCCCTACCCACTGTACTATGGCTCCACCCCCAAACCTTTGGTTTCATAAGGACCATTGGCTGGACATGGGAATAGAGGGATGGAAGCCAGAATTTATAAGAAAATAGTGAAGACTCGTGGGTGGAGAATTCTGGCATTCTGTTCTAAGGAAGAGTAACTTAGTGGCAAGGAAGATGAATATTAAAGTCAAGTGGAGCTAAGTTTGGGGGCAAGCTCTGCCAGTCAACTATTGACAAACAATTTGACAAACACCAAACAAGTTATTCAACCTCTCCTGATCTTCATTTGATCTTTTAGCATCTGAAAATTGAAGATCACAACCCCTAGCTCACAACATTCACAATGGATAAATGAGTGAGATGCCACCTGCGCAGCTTCTAGCTCAACGAATATTAATTTTATTCATAGGATCTTTTCCTTGTTTGCCTGCAGAGTTCATAGGTCTTCTCCCTTAGCTGGTTCTCTTTTAACATGTTGAGGAAATGCTCATAGAAATCAAGAATTACAAGCACTGGTTTGAGAAACCATGAAGTTGGTCTAACTAACACAGGCAGAGTGAGGAGGGCAGTGGGGTGGAAACCGGCCCCAAGCAGATGACTCTCACCCTTGACTGGCTGTCTGCATCCAGGGCGCTGGTGGCATCATCCAGAATGAGAACACAGGGTTTCCGGATCAATGCTCGAGCCAAGGCCACTGACTGTCGCTGACCACCTGACAGCTGGCTCCCAGCCTCGCCTACCTCTGCAGAGGTAAGAGTCAATGGTGTGAGAGCAGGACAACAACATAAAGAGAAACACACACATGCATACCACACTCGTACACACATCCTATACAACATGTACACAGCACACATACATCACACACAGAATACACACACCACACGTGGACACATGTCATACATCACACAAGAAGCACTATAATATGCACATACCACACACACATCATACACCATACATGTGACACACATCACACTCACAATATACCTATGTCCACCAAGAATTGATGGGTGCAACTGGCTAGAGAAGGTTCTGGAAAGATGAAACCGTTCTAAGGAAGAATCATCAGAACAAGATCTTATGTCTCCCAAGTGGGTCAGTGGGGCAGCAGAAATGTGTGCATGGAGGCAAGGCCACTGGAGATAAGGAAAGGCAAAGACTGACTAGGAAAGGTGGAGACCCAGTACCTGCATCATAGCCCTGAGGCAATTTGGAGATGAATTTGTGGGCTCCGGACTCCATGGCCGCAGCTGTGATCTCTTCCATAGTTGGCTTCTGAAGCAGGCCATAGGCAATATTTTCTTGAAAGCTTCTTCCGAACAGCTGTGGTTCTTGGCCCACCGCAGCTACCTGATTTAATACAAAGAAGAATCAGGGGCTGGAGACGGATAGGGCACTTACTTACATGTGACCAACACAAGTTCAATCCCTCTCTCGGATCCCCCATCTCCACCTATGCCAATCACTCCTAAACCTCTTTTATAGTGCTTAGAGGTCACGCTCAGTGAAGGCACTCTTCTTACTTGAAGTGCCCTCCCTCCTCCATGTTGCCATTTTGCTCACCATTGTGTGCAGGTAGCGGTGCTCATACTGGGGAAGGGGCTCCCCATCCAGCAGCACCTGGCCAGTTGTGGGCTGGTACAGATTCTGCAGCAGCGCAGCCACTGTGCTCTTCCCAGATCCATTGGGCCCCACCAGTGCAGTCACCTTACCAGGGTGCAGGGTGAATGTCAGCCCCTGGAAGCCAGAGAGTCACATGATGACAGGACCACTAAGGCCCCTGAAGAGAGACTGTTAAGTTCATGTCCTATTGCAAAGTGTCTCACCAAAGACATACAGACAAAAATGGGGAAATAAAGTAAAGTCTACCTCCCACATGCACAGGCTTTAATTCCTGGGGGACAACACCTCCTCAGGGAGGCAAAGACAACAGCAAAGACGATGCACCATTGTGCCACTGTCCGGATGCCACGAGAAAACGGGGAGAGGAGAGCAGATGCACAAAAGGGAAGGAAAGATAGAAAACTGGTGACAGCAAGTTTTGCGTCATAATCCTTAAGACATGACAGCCTTCTCCCTGATCCTTCTCTTCTCCCTGGAGCTCCACATTGGTTCTTGAGTTTGGGCCAGTCTGGTGGATTGTATCAGTGTTTCTCAACCTGGGGGATATAGCCCCTGTGGACTCCCAGGATATTCCGATGGGGCCATAAGAAAAACCTCATAAATGGGGGGATCATGGCACAAGAGTAGAAGGCCAACAGTAGGACAGGGGGCCATGAACACCATCAGGAAAGGTTGAGAAACTCTGGCTTAGCTGATCCTTGTTTTCATCTCTAGAAGGTTAGGAAGGATCTTTGTGGGGTGTGTGTGTGTGTGTGTGTGTGTGTGTGTGTGTGTGTGTGTGTGTGTGTGTTTACATGGTCTGGGGGGCAGAAAGCATATTTTGGATGGCAAGGTTGAAGGGATGGTTGGTTAGGGGGGAAGGATGGGTGGGTGGTACCTGAAGCACTGGGACATCGGGACGGTTTGGGTAGGCAAAAGAGACATCTTGGAACTGGACGCAGCCCTCCAGGTTTACAGATGTCAGCGTACCGCTGGCTGGGCAGTGAGGGATCCGGTCCAAGTATTCAAATATTTTCTCTGAGGAGCCCAGGGCCTTCTGCACACTGGGATACGTGGAGAGCAGTACCTGGAGAGGAAGTTAGACAGTGAAAGCAGGTGGGGAGGCCTAGTCTGTTTGCCAGGATACCATGATGTAAGAAGGGGAAGGAAGGAAAGTGACAGAGACAGTAATGGGACAGGGACAGGCAAAGCTTTAGGAGTGAAACTAGAGGGTCCTTACCTCCACTGCTGTGGTGAACTCTTTCTGATAGAGAACAAATGTGACCAGGCTCCCGCTGCTGACAGACCCACTGGTCACTAACTGCCCGCCAATGTACAGGATTCCCACCTTAAGCAGCATCCCTGAGATCTGTGGATTGATGAAAGAGAGGACTGTGCTAGAAAATTCTAGAGGGAGCTCAAGGAATCAGAATCAGGAGGTTAAAAGGCTGTTCTACCAGGTTTAACAGGTAGAAAAGACTCCATGGAGTCTTCCTCAATTACATATAATCAAAATTCTTATCATTATGGGCTGGGGCAATATTACAGCTGGGAGGGCATTTTCCTTGCAAACAGCTGACCTGGGTTCAATGCCCAACATCCCATATGGTTCCGCCAACCACCACCAGGAATGATTCCTCAGTACAGAGCCAGAAGCAACCCCTGAGTGCCACCATGTGTGGCCCCAAAACCACAACAATAGAATGTCATCATGATCACAGTAACCATCATCACCTTCCCTGGGGAGCATTTTGCAAAAGAAAATGGAGAATATTTTGCAAAAATCTAAAGAAGGTCCTAGAACTGGACCACACAGGGACTGGGTGGATATTGTGCCCCACAGTGATAGGAAACCATCAAGTATGTATAAAAACGGTGAGGGGGTGAGGACAAAGAGTAGATAACTGAGTGTCAGAGTATCTGGATGAGAGCATGAAAACAACCACCTCTTTTCCAATTGAAGAGAAGAATAGAGTTGGGACATGGGACAGAGCATGGAGCCGAGTCTTTGGGGAGACTAAAGAAAATGGATTCATCTTTAGATACTCACACTGGTGGTCCAGAGGTTCACCGCATAGGCCACAGCCTCCTTGTGATTGAGGGTCTTCATATCATGTAGCTTTTGTCTATACTTCTGGGCCTCGCCCTCTTCATTGGCAAAGGTTCTAACTGTAGGCATGGCAGAGAGCGCCTCAAGGGCCACCTGGCTGGACTCTGCCAGAGATTCCTGCACCTGTGCAGCCATGTGCTATGGAACAAGGACCATAGATGTTATAGATGTTTGGAAAACCGTCAGGAACACTAGTACCTGTGCTGCCTGGTTAGCAGTGAGAAGACGTAGGAGAGAAGAGAACAGAAGAGAGGAGAAAGGGAGACATATAGCTATGCTGAAGAGATATAAAGAAGGGACATTGAAATAGAATAGCATGTAGGGGAATTGCTGCACACATGGCCAACCTGGGTTTGACCCCCAGCACCCAACACCCCTGCCCAAAGAAGAGAGATACAGAGAAAAGGAAGGGTCATAAGGGATCATAGTTTTAAACTGACGGCTGATGATCATGCTCTTTTTTGAGAGGAACAGAGGGACATTTAACCATACCCAGATGTGTTCAGGGATTATTCCTGGGTCTGTGCTCAGGGATCACTCCTGGCAGTGCTCAGGAGACCATATGGGTGCTGAAGTTCAAACCCGAGGCAACACATGCAAGGCAAGTATCCTACCCACTCTAGTAACTCTTCAGCCCAGATGATGATACTCTTAAAGAGAGTTGTGAGCAGAAACTTGGAGATAAAATACAGAGGATATGAAGACCAGCACTGAGCATCTGAGAACACAGGCTACAGGACAGAAAGTCCTGGGAAGAGGGATGATCAGTGACATGCAGGAAAGTCTAAGGAAAGAAATCGGAGAGGAACTGGGTTTGACAAGTCTAGAAGAGGGGTCTGTGAACACTGAGACAAGTCCTTGGACAAACCTGCTGCCATTTCCCCAGTTTCTTCGGTGGAATGAAGAGCAGGGGCAGGGCCAGCAGGGTGACCATGGTGAGAGACAGTGACCCCCAGAGCATGAGCCCCAGGAGACACAGCCCCCGCACCAGGTACCACATCAGTAAGTTCAGCTTGTCCGTCAGAGACTCACTCACGGTGGATGTATCCTCTGTCACCCGAGATGTGATGGCACCTGCCATGGTGGGGAGAAGAGAGCAGAGTGACAAGAGGCTCAGCTAAGGAGGGATCAGCAATGACAAGGTGTCAGCATGGTGTCCCAAGGAGGCTGAGACAAAGTGAGGGGCAGGTGGGCAGATATAGTCCAGCAGGTAGGGTGTTTGCCTTACACACGGCCAACCCAAGTTGAATCCCCTACACCACATATGGTCCACTGAGCCCAGCGGGAGTGACCCCTGAGTGCAGGCCTTACTCTGAGTGATCCCTCAGACTAAGCCCTGGGCACCACCAAGTGTGACCCCGAAACAAACAAAAAAGATAATATGAAGGGTTTAGGGAAGTTTGGAGGGGTCTCGGTGAAGCATGAATATGTAATAGAGGAAAAGTCTGGCCTAAGAATCTCTTTTTGGGAGAGAGAGAACAAAAGGGAATGCCCTGCCACAGAGGCAGGGTGGGATGGGGGGATGGGGGGTGGGAGGGATACTGGGACCCATGGTGGTGGAAAATAGGCACTGGTGGAGGGATGGGTATTTGATCATTGTATAATTGAAACCCAAGCACAAAAATTTGTAATTCTACAACTGTACCTCATGGTGTTTCACTAATAAAAATTAAAAAATTTTAAAAAAAGAAGAATCTCTTTTTGGCAGATGGAAGGGTGTGGTTGTCAACCTAGTATTGCTCAAGGGCTACTCCCAGCTCCGTGCTCTGGGAGTTACTCCTGACAGTGCTCGGGGAGCATCTGCTAGTAGGACTGAATCTGTGCCTACTGCTGGCAGAGCATGTGCTCCAGACACAGAACTCTCTCCTGCGCAAGAATACGAGGAAATGACTGTCCCTGTACATTTCTGTTTCTCCAGCAGCTTTCTGCTCCCAAGGGAACATGTAAACCCCAGGCTGCACACAGAGGAGGGGAGGAGCTTGTGCTGGACGTAGAACAGAGCTGGAGGATGCACAAAGGATTAGAAATCAAGAGACCAGCTTCCACCACAAAGCTCTGTCTGTCCATATGTGACCATGGACGTTTCGGCACTTAGGAGACACTCTTTGTGTCTCCATAAAATGAGGCAGCTGTGCTGTGTGATCTCAACACTTCCAAGTTTTAAAATGGTGTGGTTCTTCTGGGTCATATTTATGCCCACCGCTGGCCTTGATCCAGAGAGACAGCAGTGAATCCCAGAAGACAGAAGCTCGCCAGGGATCTCTCCGGGCTGGTGCCGAGCCAGTCAATGTCACTGGGGTTCATCAGATAGAGTGGGTATCCCAGCTCCGCCTGCTCCAAGTGATCCCCCAGTGGCCACAAACTTTCAGAAGTAAATCCGAAGTACGCAGGAACAGGGTCTGAAGATGCCAGGCCACATGACAGTTAGTCCCTTCCCATCTCCCCGCCCCTTTGGGGTCCTGGCTGTCACACTCACGAACTGCCTCCTGGCCATATTTAAGCACACACTGGCCTTGATCCAGACTCGCAAATGAATCTCAAAATGGATTAGCTCCCTATAGAGATGTCTTTGGGCCACAACCATTTACATATTTAGAATTCCAGGAGTGTTTGGCTGCAAGAGCAGCCGCATGACCTCTCATGATATTCTTAATAAGCAATAGAAAATAAATTATCTAGAATCTGCCTGTGGCAGGCAGGTTTGAACGGTGGTGGGAAAATTTGAAATAATGGTGGTGGGAAGGTGTAATGTTGGTGGCATTGGTGTTGAAATATTGAATGTAATCAATTAATGTGAGGAACCTGGTAAGAAAAAATTTCTAAATGCTATGGTTCTATCTAAATACACATATGCCATTAACGAAAAAAAAATCCTAGATGGAAAATCTAAGCTTTCTCAAGGTGCACAAAAGTGTGCTCTTATAGTATTATCAAGAATAAGAAAAGCAGGGGAGGGAAAAGTGTGCTCAGGTGTGCGTTGGAGGGGGGAATGCTGGGACAATGATGGAGGGAAGCATTCACCCTGGGGGGGAGGGTTGTATGTTACACGTGAAACTATCCTTAACACGTGAAACAGTATCATTAACAATAATGTAAACTATGGTGCCTGCAATCAATTTTTTTAAGAATAAGAAAAGACAATGTGGGGCCAGGAGATCATCCAGCAGTTGATGCCTAACATGCACTAGTTCTGGGCCCAATTCTCAGCACCACCTAGTCCCTTGAGCATCATGAAGTACAGAGCCAGAGGCCCTCAGCACTCCTGGGGAGGCCTGGGTGCCCCCAACAGGGCGGCTCAAACAGCAGCATCGCATCCTCTGGGCTATTTCAGTAAACCCATGAGCTAAGTGGTGGAGAATTGCTGGAGGGGGCCCTGGTTCCCCTAACGCACTGCTTGGGGCGCCCCCCTCCCCCAAAGAAACAGCAACGTGTTCATTCGTTGACAGAGACAACACATGCAATGTCAAGGTGGCACGGGAAAGATGTATGGGTTAAAGAGAAGGAAGAAAGAGAGCGGCTGTGCAGAGGGTGTATGGGGGTAAAGAGAGCCAACAGACGCATAATGAAAAGCACTTCTGAGAGACCTGTTTGGTTCTGCTGGAAAAACTCTGTCTCCTGGCGCAGGACTGCCCGGAACACCTCTCCCTGCAGGTGGCTGTGAGCGCGGCCCATGGTGCTGTTGTAGATGCCATCTCCCATGAATTCCAGCACCGCACTGAGGAGACAGAGACGAAGGTGGGGGGGTACGTCAGGGGGAAGGGGTAGCAGAGAGCTGGCTCAGGTATCCCCACGGGAGGGAACTTCTGATGGCAACCCCAACTTCCTCTTCATTGAGGTCCTGTTTCCAGACCTGGCAATGGTGAGAACGGACATGAGGGTCAAGTTTCGGGTGAAGGCCGTGCCTGAGCCATCTTGTAGGATCCAGTCGGTGAGGCGGCCGGTAAAGAAGGGAATGGCCATCTCTCCTGCGGAGAAAGTGGGGAGACCCTCGGTTACAAATGCCAGGTGCAAGGAGTCAGCTGGAGCCAGATGTGCCCACCCAGCCGGCACCACCATCCTGGGCGGGGGGCAGGGGATAGTGAGGTCAAACTGGAGAGACGATATGGCACCCTAGAGGAAAGCCTTCCCAGTGCGGCCCACTGAAGCAACGCTGGGGCGCCCAGGTCCCCTGACTCCCACCCAGCCCCCCGGGGCAGGGCTCCTTCCTGGAGCGCGCTTCTCAAACCCGAGCTGGGCTCTACCCCCATAACCCGCACCCTCCCCCCTCACTCACTCCCGGCCCTGGGGCTCAACCCTTCCACGCGCTTACCGAGACAGGAGAGTACCAAGAAGGTCAGAACGAACGGGAGGCGGCGGGTCTCAGAGCCCAAACAGCCTAGAAGCCGGCGCACCTTGTCTCCAGACCCCCCGCGCCCAGCGGGTGCCCAGAGGCTCCCGAGTTGATGCCACAGGGCGGCGGCGGGCAGGGCGGCGGCGTAGCAGAGGGCGAAGGCGTCCAGGCGAGTCCCCCAGTGCAGGAGCCTGTTGCTGTCCGGGTCCCCGGCGGCTCCCCAGGAGCGCAGCGCGCGGAACGAGGCGAGTCCGGGCAGGGCCAGGCCCAGCGCCCCCGCCAGGGGCTGCAGAGCCGCCAGCCAGCCCGGGGCTCCTGCGCTCGGGCTCTGGGCACCGACCCTGAGGACGCAGCATGCTCCCAGCCACAGCGCAGCCCCGCGGCTCAGACCCGCCGTCCACAGCCGCAGCAGCGGCAGCGCGCTGGGCACCAGCAGCGAGCCGAGCTTGGGCAGCGCTGGCCGGAGCAGCGTCCAGTCGGCGAGCAGCAGCAGCGCGGTCCCCAGCCACGCGCATCGCGCTCGGACCAGGCAGGGGGACCCGCCGGAAGCGGGGGAGTCCGGGCAGGCCATGGGCGCAGGGGACGCTCCGGGTAACCCCGGATCTGGGGCTCTCCGCGATCCCCGCTGGGCACTTCTCGGGGCCCGCCCGTCAGTGCCCCCGCGGCTGCAGGAGGCGGGAGCGGGCGGGGCGGGGCCCTGGGAGAGTCCCGGGAACCGGCTCCGCCCGGCCGCGCAGGCTGGAAATGAAGCGTTTAGGGGAAAGCGAAAATGACAGCGGCGCGCGCCGGCCGGGACCGCCCACTGGACGCCGGCGCGCCAAGGGCTGACTGGGCAGAGGGCGCAGAAGCCAGGTCTGAGTCTGGGGGGACAGCCTTGACGTCCTTCCGTCTCCGTCACGCCCACCCGGCCCCCGCCCCGTGCGGGATCCACAGGCAGCTTTCCACCCTGGCGTCCGGGCGCGCCTGGCGTCACTTGTCTCCGGGCAGACCATCCCCGCACGGGTTGGCGTCGGGGCGCTGAGCCCCGCGCGGAGGACGCGGGCGCCCCCTGGCGGGCGTGGGAAGGGGCGGGGCTGCAGGCGGCGCGCCGCGTGCAGGTCGAGATCGAGAACCTGGGCAGCGGCCGGCCGGGAGCGTGTGCGGCGCGGGGATGATGCGGGTCGGAGCATCAGCCGGGGACTTTCCCCGCACCGGAGAAGTCCACACGGGGGTAATGATCTGGGTTTGGGTAAATGATCGCTAGGGCGACCGGGGGAACCCTAGAAGCGCTGAGGAGTGACTGCGGGGGGCTAGAAAGAGTGAAGCAGCAGCCGGGAGCGCTCCGTGCTGGCGCTCTGCGGGGAATACGGGGCGTCGCTACTCCGAAAGGGTCGTGCTAGGGGTCCGCGAAGGGTTTGGGTGTACGAGGTCGGTGGGACGGCGGTGCTTTGGCAGTTAACTGCTAGCTTCAGGGGAAGCTGTTTAAAGCGCTTTCGCTTTCACTGAGAACTGAAGAGGGAGTGGGCTGTTAAATCAAGAGAGGGGGTTGCAGTAGGCGCAAAAGGGCTGGGATCCCGGGCCCTAAGTCAAGGACAGCGCGGGAAAGGGGGGGGGGGGTACTGGCATTAATGAAGAGGGGAGGCGTCACCACACAAACACTGTTCTCTGCCCCAGCACTGAGCTAGGACTGGTGGTGCCCTTCCCTGGCTGGGCTCAGAAGACTCCTGCGTAGCCCTGGTCTTCCCCCGCCCCCACCCCGTCTTTCCCGGGGTGTTCGCTATCCGCTCCGACACTCCGCTGGGTGTCGGAGCCTGCAGTCCAAGGCTACTGTCACCCGCCCCCCACTGGGGAACCCCTTTGCGGTAGAGGAATAGCATTCACAGTAGGGGCTGCTCCTCTTCTCTGCTTTCTATCCCTGGCAAAACAGTTTGCTAGAAAACACGCTCCAGGAAACTGTGCCTGGGAGCAGAACCACTTCTGGAGTCCTGAGAAATTCAGCACCCGGGTAAGGGTAGGGGTATCTCTGGCTGCCAGGTGAGCAGGGAGAGCAGCACGTCAAAACCAGGTGGTTGGGAGTTGGAATGATAGTACAGTGGGTAGGACGTTTGCCTTGCACGTGGCCGACCTGGGTTCAATTCCCAGCATCCCATATGGTCCCCTGAGCACCGCCAGGAGTAATTCCTGAGTGCATGAACCAGGAGTAACCCCTGTGCATCGCCGGGTGTGACCCAAAAAGCAAAGCAAAGAAAAAGAAAACCAGGTGGTTGGCAGGACTGGATTTGTGTCCAGGCTCGCTACCAATTCTTCTGACCTTAAAGAAGTCATTTGAGTTCTTTGTGACTTAGTTTCCTCATTTGAACCAAGACTTTTTAAGACTTTCCTACTCAACTAGAGTAGGAAGCTTGTGGCTTTATCCCCCTTCACTTTTTCTAAATTCTTTTTTCTTAATTAATTTTCTTGATTTGGAATGTCAGCTCACACGCTTCTTGATACAGAGAGGATTTTTCTTTCATAACAAAAGCTTTTATTACAGGGACTTGAGTACATAGCACAACAATCATGACCCCTGAAATTCAGAATTCACGATCAAGAAAAGCTCGTTAATGGCCTCCTCGGTACTGATTTCTTAGGATTCCTTTTTACAAAGCCTTGCAAAAAGAGGATAAGCAGCAGTAAGACTCTTGCTAGCAATAGGTTTTATTTCATCACCTTCATTATCAGCAACAGGCATGAAGTTTCTTTCTTCTGTGTAATGGCACTGCAGAGCGGCTGCTACACTCTGCCTGTGGTACAAAGTTTATAAATACAATATAGCACTGTAGCACTGTGATCCCATTGTTCATCGATTTGCTCCAGCGGGCACCAGTAACGTCTCCATTGTAAGACTTGTTGTTACTGTTCTTGGCATATCGAATATGCCACAGGGAGCTTGCCAGGTTCTGCTGTGCAGGAGGGATACTCTCAGTAGCTTGCCGGGCTCTCTGAGAGGGACAGAGGAATTGAACCCGGGTTGGCCACGTGCAAGGCAAATGCCCTACCCACTGTGCTATCGCTCCAGCCCATAAATACAATATACCAGTACAAAGTTGAAGCCATTAAAAAGAAAGTTTAACAAGTACTAGGAGATAATTCAGATGCCACATGTTGAAGGACTCTACAAAGAGATTTAGAAACAGCATACAGATAGAAAAATTTAACATTTTTTCCTGGGGAAGAGATAGATCTCATCTTGTGGCTACCAAGATCTATTTACCTCTTAGTCAGAAATCTTTAAGTGAAGCCATTTTATTTGTTGATGTTGGACCACATTCTGCAGTGCTCAGGTCTTACTCCTGGCTCTGTGCTCAGGGATCACTCCTGGCAGGACCCAGGAGACCATATGCAGAACCAGAGATAGAACCCAAGTTAGTTATATGCAAGGTAGTGCTCTACCCCTGTGTGGTCTCTCCAGCCCTTGGTAGAGACATACCCTGTGGTGCTGGGGGCCACTCCCAGCATAGTTGGCAGGAGGAGGCCCAGGTGGAGCCAGCGATCAAACCCAGAGTTCCCCCATGCAACTGTGTCTGACCCTCTGAGCCATCTCCCAACCCCATTCAATGAAACATTTAAACTATCTCATGTTCCTTGTAGCATCTCTCCTACCTTGACTCGACCCTATTAACCACTGACTCCCTCAATGTGCAATCACTAAACCAGAAGAACTCACTTGTGTTTAAATCCTTCACCTCAGGGTCCCAAAGCACCCGAGTTTGTTTCCTATCTCCATAGTATTTGCTGCACACCAACTCAGACAAGCATGTGTGAGGTGGTGAATCACTCCTAGGCTTGGAAATGCCCCATGGAGCCCTTCCCTCAAGAGGGGCACCTCTGCTGCTGGCACCTCCGCCCACCTCTCTTCACAGTGGAAAGAGTCTCACTTAGGAAGTTCTTGGCTTCGAGGTTCGGTTCTTCCAGTGCCTTACCACAGCCTGATTGTGACACTCCCTGAAGCAATCAGGAGGAAAAGGGAAGATGAAAAACTAACCCTGTGCTGGGAGTGGGGTCTGCCCTGAGTCACTGTGATCTCAAGTGAGTCTCCTCTCTCTGGGAATGTTTCCCCACCTGGATCAAAGTTATTGTTGCGGGTCGAAGAGATAGTACAGTGGGTAAAGCAATTTCCTTGAATATGGCTGACCTGGGATTGATTCCTAGTACCCCATATGACACCTCCCCCCTCCCCAGCCTGCCAAAAGTGATCCCTGAGTACAGAGCAAGGAGTAAGACCTGGGAACCACTGGCTGTACCCCTTAAACTATTTTTTAAAGAGGGGGTCTAGATTCTGACTGCCCTGGCATTCCCCCTTATGTCTCCACAGACCACCATCATGGCTGTTGAATTTGACGGGGGCGTTGTGGTGGGTTCAGATTCTCGGGTATCTGCAGGGTAAGTGCTGGTGAAGGGGGGTGCTTTGGGGAAGAAGCTAATAGACCCAAACACTTTTTTTAAAATATTTGTTTGTGAAGAAAGTCATGTTTTGGAGAAATGAAGTTCACCTTTCAGAAAAGCCACCATAATAAACTAGCTGGTGTGTGCTCAGGTTTCTGTTTGCGGAGAGAAATGTTCAGTCTGAATGCACAGGTGACTTGTCCATGGGAGGAATGACAGAGAAGGGAAGACAATTTCAGAGAACAACTGTCTCTGTGTTTCAAGATGGTTCTGCTGAGCAGGTTTTAGTTTCTACTCTATCATGTGTTGTACTAATTTTGTCTTTCTTCCCCTGGCCAGTTTTATTTTTTCCCTCACATGCAAAAATCTCAAATACCTACAAGGGTAGTTCTATGTCACTGTATGTTTCGTAAACACATAATGTGTGTATGTGTATGTGTTTAAGCCATACCTGATGGTACTCCAGGTTTCCTCCTGGCTCTGCACTCAGGGATCACTCTCAGTGCTCCAGAGACTGTATGGTGTGCTAGGGATTAAACCCAAATCAACTTCCTACAAGACATGTGCCTTACCCACTATTTTATATCTCATATCACTTTTTCAATATGGTTGATAGTAAAGGAAAGTTAGCAAGAGTAACATTAGTCTTAGTGTTTTTGGTTTCGTTATAAATTCAAAGCCCTGCATACAGTCTGACTTCAATTATTACTCGCAATACTTCATTTACTTGAGCGGAGTTTTGCTCCCTGCTTTCATCAAAGCATGGCATTTCCTGAACTCCGAGCTGTTCTTAAATAAATATGAGCAACACTAGACGACGAACCTCAGAAATTCATGCAACTCTCAGTTGATACCTATTGTTCCCGACAGACGGGCAGTGGTGAACCGAGTGTTTGACAAGCTGTCGCCCCTGCATGACCGTATCTACTGCGCGCTCTCTGGCTCGGCTGCTGACGCCCAGGCCGTGGCTGACATAGCTGCCTACCAGCTGGAACTCCATGCGTATGAAGCTCTGGGTCCTCCTTCCCCCATATCCTGCCTGGGTGCTCCAGGAGCCTGCAACAGGAAATGAAAAAAAAAAATTCTTGTTTTGGCTCTGGCTTCTGCTGGCTTTGAACTGGCACTTGAATAAGCTGAAGCTGGGTTTCCATATAGAATAAGTGGAGCTAATAGCATCTCCCCTACCTCACCCGATGGTTATCCTGAGGATCCCATGGTATATGTGAAGGCAGTTTGCAAACTATAAATCACTACCTTCATAAAACATGAGGAAGAAAAGTGATAATGTGGCTCAACATATAACCACCATGAGCTAGGAGAAGCCAAGGTCGTTGGGGCGGAAATGAAGCTTATCTGCGTTCACCTGTGAGGGCAGGGTTTTTGCGACCAAGAAAGAGCTACGTCATTTATCTGTGTTTGGGGAGAATGTAGCCAGTGAAGGAAGGGAACATGGGTGTTTTCTTACCAAACAGTGATGTGAGACTCTGTTCCCCTATTCTTGGGGGCTGGAGTTTGAACCTCTGAAGCTCTAGGTTTCCGGTGGCCCCTGACAAGTCTGGCGGAATGGCGCACACAGGAGGTGGATTTCAGAAAATTATACTGACTTCTGTTCCTAATGTTTCCTTCAGGATGGAACTGGAAGAACAGCCACTTGTAATGGCTGCTGCTAATGTGGTGAAAAATATCACCTATAAACATCGAGACGACCTGTCGGCACATCTCATGGTGGCTGGCTGGGATCACCGTGAAGGAGGCCAGGTAAGTGTATCCTAAAGCACTTCCTCCCAGGGGGGCCCCACAGAGCTCTGTCATATGAAGATCACATCTATTCCACTGATGAGTTCCACAGATGTTACTTCTAGAACCACTGTACAGTCTCAATCACCGTGGGTATGAGATCCTGGGGCTTCACTGCAGAGGCAGACATCACCTCCTTATCTCAGTGGGAAGGAGGGGGTCGATGACTCTGTGATCTGACGTGTGTCTGCCTTCGCCAGGTTTATGTTACCCTGGAAGGAATGCTGACTCGACAGCCATTTGCCGTCGGTGGCTCTGGCAGCACCTACATCTACGGTTATGTGGACGCAGCATATAAACCAGGCATGACTCCTGAGGAGTGCAGGCGCTTCACTACGGATGGTAACTTCCAAGGGGAGGGTTTTGAACTTGGGAAAGAGTATGCAGAAGAGGGAGAGGAGTATATGAGGGGATCATTTAACTTCCAAGCCAGGAAACCTTTGCAGTAGAAGCGGTAGAATAAAAGCTAACCTCACTGGAACATTAAGACAAGTGGCATAAATGGGACAGTTCTAAACGCACTAGCATAAGATGTTTCACTGCCTTAAGAACCCGTGGTGTGCGGGAGCTAACTTGGGAGCAAATGGTTAAATCAAGGGTTTGTGAACTGCTTGTTGAGGTTTTTTTTTAACTTGAAATTGATATTAGTGGGTATACTGAGGCCATGGGCAGCAGGAGATGCTACAAACGGAGGCACTGTTCTTTTTCATATTGGGTTATCATGACAACACTATGCCTCTCTAGGAGATGGTTTTTGAAATCTGCATGTGGTAGTGGGCATGTAGACAGGAGGGGAAGGAAAGATCTTTGAAGCTAAACCATTCTCTCTCTTTCTCTCTCTCTCTCTCTCTCTCACTCTCTCCAACTTGAAACTCTGCAGCTATCACTCTGGCCATGAACCGAGATGGCTCTAGTGGGGGTGTCATCTACCTGGTCACTATTACAGCTGCTGGTGTGGACCATCGAGTAATTTTGGGCGATGAGTTGCCAAAATTCTATGATGAATGAATCTTCCCCAGCTTCCCCTTTTTTATTTTGCAATAAAAAAAATCTGGGAACATAGCCTGGTATGATGGATGGGAGATGGGTGTTCAGGGAGCTCAACTAAGAGGGGAAAGAGGCTCTTTGACCCCAGATGGTGGCAGAACCTCTATATGCCTTCGTCCCCCTAAGATGTGGTTCCAGAGAGGGCCCAAAAGGTCCCTGTATATGAAAGTGACACATACGGAGTGATTTGTAAACACAACAATAAGGGGCCTAAGAGATAGTACAGTGGCTAGGACACTTGCCTTTCATACTGCCTACCTGGGTTCAGCACCCAGAATTCCATATGGTCCCCTGAGCACTGCCAGAAGAAATTCCAGACTGCAGAGTCAGGAGTGATGCCAAAGCGTTACCAGGTATGGCCCCCCCAACAAATTATAATAATAAAAGGCCTCATTCTGATGCCCACAGGATGAGGGTGTGAGAAGAGATGGAGATTATTAAGGCTCTGACTTATATAAGTCCGCTATATATAGCAGAATCAGCTAAAAGCACCAGCAGATTCCCAAGTGAACGAATTCCTCTTTAATGCTTTTGTTCACATGAGAGACTAATTCATGATAGACACTTACATTTTTGAAAGATGCTGTGGATTTCAAAGAATAACAATAACGAAAAAGCAGCACTTAGTGAATCAGATATTATTAAGTGCTTATAAACTTCATCACTTAGAACCAGAGAAATGGTTCAACAAGCTGAGCCCAGATTTGATGCCAGCACTATTTGATCGCCCAAGCAGTTCAGGGATTAACCCTCAAGCACCGAGTCAGAAGTAGTCCCCAAGCACTGTCAGGTGTTATCCCAAAACAAAACAAATGAAAAAACATCACTTAGAGGAGTTGGAGAGATAGTACAGCAGGTATGGTGTTATCCTGCACAAGGCTTATTCAGGTTCTATCCCTAGCACCATGTATGGACCCCAAAGCACTGTCAGGAGTGATCCCAGGGCACTGAGTCAGGAGTAAGACCTGAAGCACAGATGAGTTTGGCTTCCTCCCACCACCATCAACAAAAAAGACCCCCCAAATTAAAAAATCATCACTTAGAACCCAAATAAAATCTCACATATAGTCTTAAAATCTCACATAGGTACTATTACTACTTCTACTTAGGGACAAATGGAGGCTTACACAGAGTGAAGCCACTAGACCAGTCACAGTAAATACAAATGCTGAGATCTTGGGGCTGGAGAGAGTACAGCAGGTAAGGCACCTGTCTTGCATGTGGCAAACAGGGGTGTAATGCCAGGCACCACTCTATGTTCCCCCAAACCCCACCAGAGGTGAGCCCTGATCTCAGAGCCAAAAGAAAGCCATGAATACAGCAAAGTGTCATCCGAAGACCAAAATAATAACTATAAAGCTAGATTTTCCCTTGACTACTTCATAAACTTTCCATTCCCTTGAGGTTTATAAGAGTTTCTTCTTTTTATCCTAGAATATTAGCTGGCACTTAGGGGTTTGGTATCAGAGCCTGAGCAATTGTATCCCTTGTATGCAACTGACCCTGGTTCTATCCCTGTTATCCCATATGGATCCCTGAGCACCTCCAGGAGTGATTCCTGAGTACAGAGCCAAGAGTAACTCCTGAGCCTCAAAACAAAAAGAAACAACAACAACAGCAACAATGAAGACTACCTGTGGGACTGGAGCAATAGCACAGTGGGTAGGACATTTGCCTTGCACGCGGCTGACCTGGGTTTGATTCCCATAGGGTCCCACGAGTACCGCCAGGAGTAATTCCTGAGTGTAAAGCCAGGAGTAACCCCTGTGCATTGCCGGGTGTGACCCAAAAATCAAAACAAAACAAAACAAAAAAAAGATTACCTACTCCACTATTATTTTCTTTTTACATAATTTTAATGTAGTTTTTTATTTCATTATTATTTTTTAATGTAGGAGTACTGCTATTTATTCAGCCACTGATTAGCTGATTGAATTGTGCATGAATTCCACCTTACTTTTTTTTCATTTTTTATAATTTTATTTATTGAATCACCGTGAGAGCAGTTACAAAGTTTTCGGGTCTAAGTCTCGGTCATACAACAAAACACCCGTACTTTCGACCTGTGCCCATTCTCCACCACCAAAAACCTCAGTATACCCCCATCCCACACCCTCCCCCTACCTGTGGGGTAGATGATTTCCACATTACTTTCTCTCTACTTTGATCACATTCAATATTTCGACACCAGACCCACCATAATTATTTGAGATTTTACCCCAACACTCAGATCTGCTGAAAAGGCAACAGTAGACAATTTGTGTTCTATTGCTGGTTATGAATAACATATGATGTCGCATGGCTGCAGTAGGGCCATGTGATTTTGAATTTTCAAAATTTTAACACTTAAATCTGGAGGGATTTCTGCCAAAAGCCCCTGGGTTTTGAGATTTGCTCCTGAGTCTCTGGGATCATGGCCATTGAGCAGCTTGATCAGGAGCCAGAGAGGCCAATCGTGGGTGATGACTTGGGGTCTCGTTGGGACGGGGAGGCCAGGCCCGGCTCCACCCCCATCCCGTGAGGCCCCAAATGTCTCGTCACTGCGGGCCCAGACCTGACTGTCCAATGGCCTCTGGAGGATGATGGCCACTGAGCCGCCAAGGGGGAGCAGGCAGAGGGACAGCACTCTTCCCCCCTGGAGTGGCCCGGCGACAGTACTGAGAAATCCAGATGCATTTCTGCCAAAAGCCACTGGGTTTCGAGATTTGTTTCTAAGTCTCTGGGATCATGGCCATTAAGCAGCTTGATCAGGTGCCAGAGAGGCCATTCATGGGCGATGACTTGGGGTCTCATTGGGGTGGGGAGGACAGGCCCGGCTCCCCCCCTTCCCATGAGGCCCAACAAGTTTCGTCACTGCAGGCCCAGACCTGACCGATGGCCTCTGGAGGATGACGGCCACTGAGCCACCAAGGGGGAGCAGGCGGAGGGACAACACCCTTTCCTCGCTGGGGTGGCCCGGCGACAGTAACATACTGTGGGGTCCGGACGCATTTCTGCCAAAAGCCACTGGGTTTCAAGATTTGTTTCTGAGTCTCTGGGATCATGGCCGTTGAGCAGCTTGATCAGGAGTCAGAGAGGCCATTCGTGGGTGATGACTTGGGGTCTCGTTGGGGTATGGAGGACAGGACCGGCTCCATCCCCATCCCATGAGGCCCTGCATGTCTCGTCACTGGGGGCCCAAACCTGACTGTCCAGTGGCCTCTGAAGGATAGCGGCCACTGGGCCGCTGGGGCAAACAGGCCAAGGCATGAAACCTATTCCCATCTGGGTTGGCCCAGCACCAGTAACCTACTGCAGGGACCGGACGCATTTCTGCCAAAAGCCGCTGGGTTTCGAGATTTGTTTCTGAGTCTCTGGGATCATGGCCATTAAGCAGTTCAATCAGGAACCAGAGAGGTCATGCCTCCAATTATATAGCTGAGCTGGAGGTGGTTTGTGGGTGTGTTTCCCACATATCTAATATTTGGCCATTTACTTTCTTGGTCAACTTTGCCCCAGGTTTTTCTGGGTCTGGCCAAAGGCACAGCAGCAATTTTGGGGTATCTAGAGGTCTGAAGGTGCCATCAGGCTGCTGATGCACTCACCTCACAGGTACAGATTAACCTGCTGGCGGCACCATACCCCCTTATTTTATTATTTTTTAAGAAGTTTTATTGGATCACCGTGAGATACAGCTACAAACTTGCATGATTACGTTTCAGTCACACAATGCTTGAGCACCCATCCCTCCACCAGTGCACATTTCCACCATTGTTCCCAGTGTCCCACGCACCACCCCCACACCACCCCGCTCCCTGCCTCTGTGGCAAAATCCTTCTTTCTCTCTAATTTTGGACATTATTCTTTGCAATACAGATATTAAGAGGTTACCATGTTTGTTCCTTGGTCTACTTTCAGCACACATCTCCAATCCTGAGCGATCCCTCCAATTTCATTTACTTAGTGGTTCCTTCTCCATTCCAACTGCCTTTTCCCCCCAGCATGTGGGGCTGGCTTCCAAAGCATGGCGTGGTCCTCCTGGCCCTTATCTCTACTATCCTTGGGTTTTAGTCTCATATTATGCTACTTTATATAGCACAGCGGTAAGGCGTTTGCCTTACAAGCGGCCAACATGGCCGACCCGAGTTCGATTCCTCCGCCCCTCTCGGAGAGCCCGGCAAGCTATCGAGAGTATTTGATATGCCAAACACAGTAACAACAAAGTCTCCAATGGAGACGTTACTGGGCCCGCTCGAGCAAATCGACGATCAACGGGAGGGCCTTTACCTTTATATTCCACAAATTAGTGCAGTCATTCTATGTCTGTTCCTCTCTTTCTGACTAATTTCACTTAGCATGATACTCTCCATGTCCATCCACTTATATGTGAATTTCATGATTTCATCTCTCCTAACAGTTGCATAGTATTCTATTGTGTAGATGTACCAGAGTTTCATTAACCAAGAAAAGAGAAAAAAACTAAAGAAAGAAGATAAGAGGAGAAAAGCTGGTGACATTTGAAAGTCAAGATTTGGAGAGCCAGAGGGAGGAAGGGCGGGGGAGGGGGGGAAGGTTCTGTTTCTGCAAGAGAAACATTGTCTTTATGGCAGAAGGAACCAAAAAAGGAACTCCTGTGTGTGGGAAGGTGCAGGGGAATCTCCCAGAAATGAGAACTGGAATTGGAGAAGGGGCTTCCCTAATTCCCTAACTGAGTACCAGAGACCACTCGTAAGGGGCATGCCTGGGATCGCAGAGTAATAAAGTCTTTGAGAGTGAAAGTGAGATTGAAACCTTTGAAAACTAGGAGACAACCTTTCATTATTACACAGGGAACAGTCCTTTTGCTCTGAGTTCCAAAAGGATCTGAGCAAGGACAAACACATTCAAAAAAAAAAAGAGGCCTTTTCAACTCCAAAAAAGCCCGTGCTTTCCTCAACACACATTTCACCCTTTCTCTCTTCTCACACTTCTTTTAGTCAATT